CCCCCAAAATTCCCGAATTTTTCCCCCAAAATTCCCGAATTTCCCCCAAATTCCCGAATTTCTCAGCCTGCAGCTCCGGCCTCCCGCCCCTCCCCCCCCCCACCCTCGCCGCCGTCGCCGCCCTGGCCCGGGGGGGGGAGCAGCAGCTCCAGGCCCTGGGTGAGACTGGTTTATACTGGTTTATACTGGTTTATACTGGTTTATACTGGTTTGGACTGGGAGGGACGGAAGGGGGGAAAATTGGGGGAAAAAATGGGGAAAATCGGGCGAAAAACGGGGGAAAAATGGGAATTTAAAGGGTTAAAAATGGGGGATTTGGGGTTACTGGTTTGGACTGGTTTATACTGGTTTATACTGGTTTGGACTGGTTTATACTGGTTTGGACTGGGAGGGGAAAAAATGGGGGGAAAATGGGGAAAATTGGTGAAAAAACGGGGAAAATCGGGCAAAAAATGGGGAAAAAATGGGAAAAAATGGTTTATACCGGTCCATACTGGTCCATACTGGTTTATACTGGTCCATACTGGTCCATACCGGTCCATACTGGTTTATACTGGTCCAGACTGGTTTATACTGGTCCATACTGGTCCATACTGGTTTATACTGGTCCATACTGGTCCATACTGGTCCATACTGGTTTATACTGGTTTATACTGGCCCATACTGGTCCATACTGGTTTATACTGGTTTATACTGGTCCATACTGGTTTATACTGGTCCATACTGGTCCATACTGGTTTATACTGGTCCATACTGGTCCATACTGGTTTATACTGGTCCATACTGGTCCATACCGGTCCATACCGGTCCGTACCGGTCCATACTGGTCCATACTGGTCCATACTGGTTTATACTGGTTCCAGAGGTGCTGGCGGCGCTGGGCCCCGCCCAGGTGGGGGAGGGGCTGCTGGAGGCGCTGCAGCTCGGGCTGCGATTGGCCGAGAGCGGCGACAGCGACGCCACGCGGGTCACGTGAGTGCTGGCATTCCCGAAATTCCCAAAATCCCAAATCTCCAAAATTCCCAAAATTCCCAAAAAAAATCCCCAAAAATGCCCAAAATTCCCAAAATTCCCCCAAATCTCCGCCCACTCATCTTAAGCCCCGCCCACTTCCCCCCTAAGCCCCGCCCACTGCCCTGAGCCCGCCCCTGTCAATCACAGCCCAAGCCACGCCCACGCCGCCCCAAGCCACGCCCCCCGCCTTTTGCCACGCCCCCGCCTTTTGCCACGCCCACACCGCCTTTGGCCACGCCCACTTTGGGCTTCTGGCCGCTCCCAGTTCATCCCAGTAACCCCAAGGCCCAAACCAGTAACGTCCCAGTAACTCCCAGTTTGATCCCAGTTCATCCCAGTTCATCCCAGTATAAACCAATTACCTCCGAGTAACTCCCAGTTCCCTCCCAGTCCCTCCCAGTATAAACCAGTTTCCTCCCAGTTCCCTCCCAGTCCCTCCCAGTTCCTCCCAG